ATAATTTATATTAAAAAAAACCCCATAGACATTTTTAAAGGGGGTTTAACAGCTGGATATCACTTTGTGAGCATGTCTATTATGGTTAGAGGGTTTCACTTTCTAAGGGTCAGTGAGACCCATATTAATGTAAAGATATGGTAAAAAAAAATTTCTGTGTCTGTACCAGCACTATGCTCATTGCACTATATCCCCATATTCACAAGTATCAAGTACAAATTATATGTACAAACATATTTATAAACAGAAAACTCCAACATAGTAAAAGTAGTAGCTGGAATATCGGTTTTGAAGGAACATCATCAAAATAATGCTTAAGCCACTCAAGCCCTCACTATTACCATATACAGGCAAATAAATGAAAGTAGGTTAGCTAGCTACATTGGGGGACAGTGGTGGGGTATGGGGTATTAATTTACTAAAGACAAAGAGGCTGTTCACTTCGTAAGGGAATTTGCTGAGTGATACACACATAAGATACATTTTTGTTAATAGTTAGGGTACTTGAATGCATTTTTAAGATTTAACTCCTGAGTTTAGTGTCACTTTAATATTATTTTATAGCCAGGAATGTGCCTAGGTTAATTGCCAGCGGTTTTTACACAGTGTCAGCTACTTGAGAAATGTGCTAGTAGAAATTCATAGCATGGAATTTAGAGGAAATTACTGTACTTATATCTCTAATATTTAGGAATTAAACAATGGTTCACATTATTGCACATCTGCCTATTCCTTTCCTATACTTGCAGGATCAGAATGAAAGGGAAATAAGCACTGATGCTAATATGATATCTTTGTGCTGTCCAGTAAAAAAGTCCCATTGGGATATCATAAGAAATGTGGTCATGTCCGGAAGAGGTGGGTGACCTGCAGCTTGTATGATCGCCTATTACCCTCAGCTCACATCTATCAACATTAATCATGAACCTAACACGTATGATGTTACATGGGGAATACCTTTAAAGCTTTCAAAATAAATAAGGCTGTCAGGCAACCTGTGCAGCAATCCCATATGGAGTAACCACATCAGAAAATACAAAAGTGTTAGTGCATAAGTGAATACACAATACGTGATAATAAAGACAGGGAGTGGTAAGACCGTGAACACTGGAAAGTAATACAACTACACTACAGTATAAGAGGTTCACTTATAAAAGTTTTGCCCGGCGTGTCCACATGGTACTAGCTCCCCTACATGGCACTATCCTTACCATCTTGTCTTGAATTGTATTGTAATTGTATTGTCTTCCTTATATTGTAAAGCGCTGCGCAAACTGTTGGCGCTATATAAATACTATGTAATAATAATGGCACTATGTATAAAAAAACCTATACTCGTCAGCACCTTTAATTGGCACTGGTGCTCTGTGAATGCCCTCAGCAGCTTAGTGAATAGACCCCTAAGGGCCTGTGTAGACGGGCTTTTGTTTGCTCCTAATGGGTTGTGCATTCTCTTGCAAGTTTATGGGAATACAAAGCAGGCTTGAGGCAGGTCAGAAGGAGGTCATATGCAGGTCAAATGCACCTGTCAATGAATGATCTCAGAATCATCTCAAGCTGATACCATCGATATAATCTGAAAGCCCATTGATACATGATATTTTAAAGCAGAACAGTAAATTTATAGCGCTACATGGATACACTGATGTTCTAAAGCAAGAGTATATTACAAAACCTACAGAATAATTAATTATAAAGCAGTTCTTTAGCTCCCGTCATATGACTGTGCCTAGTCCTAAGACTAGATGCAAAATGGAAAAATATCATTAGCCTGCTGGAGACAGAAGAAACGTTTCCCCAGAATGGTCAGACCATGCATGCATGCATGAATGATCGTCTTCTTGCGTCTATAGGTAGCTTAAAGTCAAAACTACATAACTTCTGAGATAAAATGAATAACATGATAAATTAAAAAGCCAATGTGTTGTTCTTAGTCAGTCTGGGCAGACTAAAAGACTTCTACTGAATAGTAAGGTGTGAACACAATGCAGACTACTAAAGAAGAGCATTAGAATGATCACATTAACATAAATATTTTATCAAAATAGTGCAGACTCTTTTATACAATACTAATCATTTATTGTGCATGCAAATTAATTATTTCCATTTCTCGTACTTTTGTTCAGGAAGTTTGCTAAAGTCTTTCCAACCAGTTTATCCAGACAGATTGTGGATGGATGAGAAGGCATTCTGCAATGAATTTCCCTTCCATATTGTGTTTGATAAAGAGGTAAAAGCAAAAACATCTGCACTCTTTAGAAGTACATTAGGAAAGTATTGTGAAGCTGCGCTGATCTGAGCCAGCTACGTGCTGGGACACAGGCAGCTATTTGTTTACCAGATTTGGAATATGCGGTGATGGCCAAGCTGAGAGGTGAAAATTCGAAAGTAATCTAATGTGCCTTATAATTAAGACATATTATCAGGTATACACGGACCAGTTTTCATGAGTGATACGAACAATTCTAACATCACTAGTGATGATTGTCTCTTGCTCGTTAAGTTTAGCATTATTGTCCAACAAACGTACCAGCACTGGTTGAAGTATCTCATATCCTCAGAGAAAACCCAACAATTTCTTTCCTATGTCTGAGGATATGGAAAAACAAAATACCCTTTAGTAAAATTTTAATTAGTAGAAAGATTTACCTGTCACCACGCTCAACTCCAAAATATAAGAGGTTTAGTCTTTAAGAAATGCTGCAGAATAGTCCAAGTTATTTCTGTGACCAACTGTGCAGGTCTGTATTTTAAAAAAACGAAAATTGGTTTGAGGTGCACAGATCCCAAATCTCTGGGAGCCAACCCCTGGTTATTTGATAATGATACAAAGGAGAGGCGAAAAATAGGTTTTTTTTTGGCTAGCAGAGTGACAAATCCAATAGACTTCACGCTATGAGTAATTATATATAAAAGTGAAAAATGTATTAGTTTTTCAAAACATCTTTTTTAAAAGAACATTGGACAATGTATTTAGAATATAAAAGAATTCGCCCTTAGAGGGAACCTCCTAGTAACCCCCTTTGAGTCCCACAGATGAGGTTCAAATAAATCTGTGGGACTCCAAGGGGGTTACTAGGAGGTTTACTCTAAGGGCGAAATTCTTTTATATTCTAAATACATTGTCCAATGTTCTTTTAAAAAAGATGTTTTGAAAAACTTATACATTTTTCACTTTTATATATAATTACTCATAGCATGAAGTCTATTGGATTTGTCACTCTGCTAGCCAAAAAAACCCTATTTTTCTCCTCTCCTTTGTATCTGTATTTAAAAAAAATTTGCCTTTTGTACAGGCTCCGTCTCTTTTGACATGAATCTTTTTGCAAAGGTCAAAACAAATATTTGCTATTAGAAATGGCAAACCATCTGCATTATATACTGCTCATTTTTTTTTTTTCACATTCAATTTTTCAGGTGAAATGTAAAATGGATGAATTTGGCTTTAGTTCCGTGGCTCCTTCAAGAGCCCCTTTACCCCTGATCAGGACTGAATGTAACTATATATGTCCAGTGGCAAACAGAAAATGACAAATATGAAAAACTAGAAACAACTAAAAAACGTTGTGGTTTCATCTCTACGCCAGTATCACTAAGCCCAAGCTCAGAAGTGCTTTATACTCTGAATAATACTTCTATCCAGATCAGCCTTTCTCAACCAAGGTGCCTTCTGGCTTTCTCAGGGGTGCCTTGAAATTTTCACACAGCGTCATGCCTCTGATGTGAAAGAGGGGGACTCTGATGTGAATGGGGGCTTCTGATTTGAAGAGGGTTTCCTACTGTGAGTTGGGTACTCTGATGTAAATGGGGGCTTCTGATTTGAAGAGGGTTTCCTAGTGTGAGATGGGGACTCTGATGTGAATAGGGGCTTCCGATTTGAAGAGGGTTTTTTCCAGTGTGAGATGAAGACTCTATTGTGAATGGGGGCTTCTGATTTGAAGAGGGTTTCCTAGTGTGAGATGAAGACTTTGTTGTGAATGGGGGCTTCTGATTTGAAGAGGGTTTCCTAGTGTGAGATGGGGACTCTGACTGATGTGAAAGGAGGGGTTTCTGATGTAAAGGGGGACTCTTATGTGAAAGGTGGCACTCTGATTGTGTTCTTGTGTGGGGTTCCTCCTTAACATTCATAACAGGCCCCTATCTGGGATAAAGGTCTGGTATGGATTTTGGAGGAACCCCATTTTTTACATTTACAGTTTTTACATTATTTAACTGGGGTGCCTCAAGATTTTGTTTACTTTTAAAGGCTGCAGTGGCTGAAAAAAGGTTGAGAAATGTTGATCTAGATCCATGAACGAGATCTGAACCTTTTCAATTTTTGTATTCCGATGGCAATGATGCCTTCTGCTTTATTTAGCCAATCTGTACATTGTGTTGTCTTTACATTGTACAGCTGAAGGTGAAACAGGCGGGGGTGAAAATACAGAAATATGTCCCTGGAATACAGACAATGGACATCAGGCTGGATGAATATTTCACCATTGTGCACCCACAAGTCACATTTACTATTTCTAACATTCAGACCTTTACTAACAGTCAGTTTGTGTTAAGAACAAAGCGAGAAACAATGCCAGAATCCTGGAAGAAGCAACCAATGTTGAAACTCAGAGGTATGTACTGTTGTGTACTAATTCTACTAATGACACTAATGTATTTGGAATACTGGACTTAGACACAGATGCTACTTATACAAATCACATTAAACAAATACGTAGTATATAACTAAATGTAATTTGATTACTAGAGATGGCCAGAGGCAGTAGATGGTGGCCAGATTTTAGTAAGCAATCCTATTGCAAAATTTTCCCTTTACCTCCTTGAATGGAACATACTGCAGGTATATGCACCTCCCTTTTGCATGCACTGCACTCTAATACTGTTGGTGGAAAATAAAAATCAACCTACATAACAACCTTCTACCCATGTTAGGACTGCTGATTGGTCACAGACGTTCTTATTTCATCAATTTCTATAGGACTGGATGACTATCATCATGTCTGTGAGTGACTTGGGTGTTAGACCCCATTCTCACTGAGCTACATCAGAAAAAGCGCTTTTCAGCGCTGATTTGAGCTGAGCGACTTTGAGAGACATTGAGCTTCAGTGCACATATCGTCGTGCTACGTAGCGCTAATTTTGGCATGGACTTCGTAGCTGCTACATTGGGCTTTATGTTACATAATTCCTCTTCCTGTATATATTTTTGTGCAAAAGTGACACTTCTGTAGCGTGTCAATGTCGCTCAAATTCGTGCATTGAAGTCTATTGGGCCAAATCGCACAAAATCCGCCGAAAAATAGGTCATGGTCAAGCGACAAGCTTGAGCAACAAGTGACAATGAGCTGTGAACAGCTCTATTAAAATGCATTGGACAAGCTACATTGAGCTGATGTTTGAGCAATTTTTGAGCTGAAATCGCGCTACAAATTGCTCAGTGTGAATGGGGTCTCAGGGCCGGTGCACACCTAGGCGACAGCCCACTGCGCGGCAATCGTGCACGATTATTTTTCAATGGCACCCCAGTTGTGCCGGGCAGATCGCGTGGTTTCCCGACGCGATTCCGCCCGTGCTTCTGAACACAATGGCGGGTAAAACAGCCGCACATCGTGTATCGCAGAAAAAAGGTATTTGTACCTATTTTCTGTGATACGCTACGCACGGCATGTTCAGATGCACGGGCGGAATCGCGCGATCTGCCCGGCGCGACTGGGGTGCCATTGGAAAATAATGGCACCCACAGCACGATCGGTGCACACCTGGGCGACTCCTGACCGCGCTGCAATCCGTTCAGCGCTGCATAGAGTATTTTTTTTTCCATACCTGCTTCAAAGAACCAACCTAGGAACTGGCAGAAGTATGCTTACTGTGCAAAAATGATTACTTTATTGATCCCATGGCACTGGTGTTCAGACATAAATTTCAGCACCTACAGTATTTAGAATGTGTCTTTAAGAAATGGCTGTATTTTACACACCAGAACCCTAATTCAACTCCTTTGACAAATGATCCCAGTCCCTCAACCCACTGCAAAAACCCTAAACCAACGAATGCCATTCCTATTGCTCCAGCTAACCCTTACCCCTTTGCAGTTTGCTATACAACAAAACTAAAATGGACTGATGCATATGAAATTGGGTTTGTGATCACTCAGCACCAAAAGCATTCTCTGCTTTTCACCAACATTCAGTGCTATTTGGACCCTGAAGGTGAAGAAGGATATTTACCTTAATAGACTGGGGAGGTAAAGATTGTGGTGGCCTGAAACAGTAACAATTGAGAACATTCTACTCAAAATGGAGTCAACCCACACAATTATTGATCAGGAGATGTTTGCTATCGCACAGGGAAAAGGTTTAGAAAGCATGCCCAATCCTTCCTTCTTCTGTGCAAAAAGATAAAGCAGTTAAGTGCTGCCTGATGCTTATTAATGTCAAGCGAGAATCATGAAATGTCCAGGGAATAAGATCACGAAAAGCCAGATATCTCTTTGTTCCTATTTAGATAGTTTCCCTTCCAAGACCATCTTTAAGCTGTCTGTAAGCAGGGCCGTCCCTACCCTATATGTCACTTGTAACAAAAAAAGGGGGGGGGGGATGTGCATGCGGTGGGCTGGACGGCTGTATTACACTGGACAGAGAGCCGTGCTGTCAGCTGCTATCTGTTAATTCCCACCCAGCTAATTGACATCACTGGTTGCCAGGAGCTCGGCAGGAAGCCAGCCAGAGTGTTCCACTCAGCTCCCAGACAACCAATGATGTCAGTGAGCTGGGCGAGAAGCCGGACAGAGCATCACAAATTGCTAAGAGCTTTTAGCAACCTGGGATGCTGTGGCTGGCCCTCAGGCTGCCTCATTATAGGGACAGCCCTGCCTGTAAGTGTGCCAATCCTACCCCAATCTGACGCTCAATGCAAAGGTTCGGCGAGAATGTAAACAATCTGACCAATGCTTTTCTGTTCTCCCTGAAGATATCAGTTCGGGGTTTTGTGTGTGCTTCAATATCCAGATATACATTTGAATCTAAAATATTTTCATAGGAGTCATGTTAAATATATCACATTTCCCCACAGATATGTGGTGGCATCCCTATAGGTACAAAGTCTACAAGATATTTTATATACTTTCTAGGGCTGGTAATGATTAAAATTTTCGTGTTCGATTAATCAAATTATTTTTAATCGATGAATTATAACGCACATACAGATCCAATGTCGCCGGATCTCCAACGGGAGTCCCAAAAGCCGGCGGAGAGGTGAGTCTTTTCATTTTCGATCAAAAGAATTTTAATCGATCAAAAAGTTTAACGATTATTTGAGGAATTAATCGTTAATTTCCCCAGCCCTAATACTTTCACATTACTTTATACAATAGGATGTTCATTGTCCAGTAAAATTGCTCTGGATCTTTCTATTTCTAATCTAACATTCCTTACAAGGGTACATGGTTTGGATGGAATCCATACAATGCATGATCTACATGTGTTCTCCAAAGCTACGCAGCCTACAGGAACTAGAAGAGAGAAAAATGCATATTTCTGATATAGCAAAACATGATGTAACCAGGGACCTGATCCTACTGAACCACCAGAGACTGGCTGAGATAGAGCTGTCCAACCAGCTGGAGAGGAAGAAGGAAGAGTTACGTATCCTGTCTAGAAACTTGAAGATCGAGAAGAAGAAGACAGAGACCTTGCTGTATGCCATGCTGCCCCCTCATGTGGCCAATCAGCTAAAAGAAGGCAAGAAGGTCCAAGCAGGTATTTCCTCCCTAAAATAACTTTTTGTCCTGCCTTGTCATCTTTTATTATTACAATGCTAACACCTGATGGAGCTAACAGTGAATTTTGCCACTGACAATAGTTAGCCCTGTTTCTCCAGGGCAGAGGTTCTGAAACCTTTTCTTAGGACCTATTCACACTTGCTGGTTTTCCTTCAGTAAAACACATGAGTTGAACACACACTGTAAAGAGATATCCCCTTTATTACTATGGGCCTAGTTCACATGTCTAAGGCTGGCCACAGCGGTAGAATTTCAGCTGATTCACAGGAATTGGCCAAAATTCTCACATTGGGTGGCCATCCTGACTCGACAAAAGTCGACTGCTCAATCGACTTATGTTGAAGGAACTAGGCTGAAAATTTTTGGCTGAACACTGACTGCAGCCTATTAGCTCAGTTCACGTATTCTGTCAGAGGCAGCCGCTGGCTGTCAGGATACAATAGCTTCAGCAGAGATTTGTGCAATCTGTTAGATTTTTTTTTTTGTTCGACCCACAGCCTGAATAAAAAAAATCCAATAATGTACGCTTTAGCTGCCGCTCAGCCTGTTTCTTTAAAAATGGGAACATGTTTAGGATTTAATGCACATTAAACAGGCTCTTTTAGCTATAAATGCACAAAACGATATGCACCATGCATTTATGTGCATTTTTAGCACATGGGCATAATGACTGAAAATTTAGCGTTTCAGTGTGTGCCATGCTCTAGTCATTCACAGACCTGTTTTTTTTATTTTTATTTACCATTCTCTCAGTTACAGACAGTAAGGTCTTATAGTCCTATTCTAAGATTCATTCTGATATACTACAAAAAACGTGGGTGTATAGTGCTGGCTTGCCTTAGAAAGCACCAATATATACCACAATGCATATATACATTTACACCAGATCTGTAGAAGCCAGAAAGTCCAAAGGTAATTTGCTTTGGTAGCAGAGCAGGATATCGGGAATCAGGTGAGGGAATAGGATCTGGTAAACTGATAGTCAAAGTTGTACAAAACACAGAACTCCTCAGCACCCTGTTCTATCAAGACAGCATTGTTACAAAAAAGCCTTTGACTATATCAGTAAGCTCATAAAGCAATGTTTTTTGAAAAATATTCCTTACATTTTTAGCTTTCTAAAAACCTTACAGAAGTACTATCAAACATCATCTAACAGAATGGAAAAAAGACACTGATTTGTTTTCTATATAATGTAATGTGGCAATGCAGCACGTTGATATGAGGAAACAGCAGTCATGGTGGCATTCACTCACCTCATGGGCACAGGACCAATTACTACGCTGGCATCTCCCTATAGTTATGCTTTAATGTATACTAACGATCATTTACCCCATGCAGGAGAATTTCCAACTTGCACAATACTCTTCAGTGATGTAGTGACATTTACCAACATATGTTCTGCTTGTGAGCCCATCCAAATCGTCAACATGCTCAATGCAATGTACTCAAGATTTGACCATCTTACAAATGTCCACGATGTATACAAGGTAAAGCTGCACAATTAAAATGAAACAATGAAGAAAAAAATAAATAACCAATCCTGCTGTGTAAAAGGCACCCTTTGGTGTAAGTACTTACCTTCCCTGACCGATGGCCCTCCTATGCCAATACAGACCATTCCCTATGTTTGGTATTTGCACTCTGTAAGGCATGCCCTCTACAGAACTCAGTCCTGGCAACTGATCACTCAGGCACTACATTATAGGAGGGCAAGAGGAACATTCATATGTGCCTTAAATACAGAAGCACTAACTTCCATTTTAGCAAGCTGTACCTGGTTGTACACTTAAAACCTGGGAGAATAGCAAAGAATCAGCAAACTTTGTGCCTGGGGTTTGTGTTGTACTTTATGAACAGAGCCCAATGTTGCAATTATGATGTTGACTATACTGTCTGAAATACAGATAATTATACATTCAAGAGCCTACAGATATACCGTATATCAATGAATATTGTGGAAAATAATTACAATTCTGACGTTAAACTAAAGATGTTTTACAGGTTGACTATGTATTATCTAAGTATTACTAATATAAATATGATATACTTAGCACTAAAAAAAAGTACATGCATAAAAAACATTCAAACCTACCAATATGTTTCTCTTACAGGTAGAAACTATAGGGGATGCATACATGGTGGTGGGAGGTGTTCCCATACCTGTGGAAACTCACGTGGAGAGAGTTGCAAATTTTGCCCTCGGCATGAGAATAGCAGCAAGAGAAGTAATCAATCCCATAACTGGAGATTCTATTCAGGTGACTGAAATTCTTGGGCTTTGTTTTTTCCCTGGTAGCAGACACAGAAAAATGCAGTACGCGCTATTGCATTCTAACATGTCCATTTAACAAGAGTATTCTAAAAGTATGAAAAATCCTAAATCCTTAAAGCTGAACTCCAGGTATAAATATTTATATATAGTTACAATGGTCCAGCCTGGCCCAATTCAAGTATATATATTTTATACCTGGTAGGGACTTGGGAATCCGGCAAATCTCTGTAGTAGCTGGCCCCACTACAGTGCTTTACATAGATCTTCTAGGTCCTGTACTGCCATCGTGATGAGAGACTCCCCCATTGCTGTGAAAGCAGAGGGGGTCCCTCACTCGGCACAAAGGCCATTCAGTGAACACCTAGTACTTTTATCAATAAATAATGCTGCAGCTACTACAGTGTTTTACAGGATACTAGTGGCCCTTCAATGGAAAAAAATATGTATACCTTCATTGGGCAAGGCTGGTCCAATGTATGTATATATACATATTTATACCTGGAGCTCAGCTTTAGGGTGCACATCACAATATATTTAGAAGTCACTTAAAGTCCCATGTTATGACTGATGAATGAATTTTGCTTTAAAAATGTTTTGACATTGAACATGCTAATTTAGTCCTCACCCAGATAAGTAACACCTACAGTTCTTCTCCCTCCCTCAGCCTGTGAATGAACAGTGAACAACGGCAGACTGATATCTCTCTGTCACGCCTATCAGCATGCCCCTTGTTAGCACATGAGCACTATAATACAACTTACTGGCTCCATGTGCTGCTTCTCCCTCTCCTGGTCTGTACTCTGCAGCACAAGGGATGGCAAAAGCCAGATACCAAGTGTGCCTTGAGTTCAGCTTTAAAGCAAAGTACTAGTTACCCAGTTACCAGTCAGCAATCAACAGTGCACCATTTGTAAGCAATGAAATATTTAGCAATAACCAGACATGCATTCAGTTTTTGAGGATTAATAATTTAGAGGACATTTTTCAAAAACCATAATGATAAGTAGTTTTCATCTTGTCTGTGCAAGCTACATGAGAACAGATTTGGCAGTTATAATTTCCCGCTAAGTGTAATGTTGGTAAATAACACAACGTAATCACTGAGAACGTCTCTCATTTCAGATCAGAGTTGGAATTCACACGGGGCCTGTATTAGCAGGAGTTGTCGGTGATAAAATGCCCAGATACTGCCTTTTTGGAGACACTGTGAACACAGCCTCCAGGATGGAGAGCCATGGGGTTCCAGATAAAATCCACCTTAGTCCAACAACTTTCCAGTAAGAAACCATCCTATCACTGTAAAACAAAATGTTTGTACTGTAATGCTTTGCTGCATATAAGCCAATTTGAGCAGGAACACAATAGTTTAAGTTTGAATGGATTTCACTTTTCGTGAATAGGTGCCATTGAAGCTTAACTGCCCAGACCAAAGTTAGCAGTGGCAGTATGTGTCAGATAACTTGACAATAACTAATTGACTCATTTTTCTACCTTAACTTTTACAATGCCTTTAAAGCACTTGGTCCCTTTTGTTCTGTTAAATATACCAATAAAAGCATTTTGTTATAGCTGTTTGAGATGGTCCAAAAAATGCTGTTGATCTTACCAGAAATCTTGTGAGCTGATAACTTCCTGTACTGACTATTATCAGTTACATTGTTCTTAGTTAATACTAAGGACTACAGAAACATACCCTTCTATGTTACGGACAATAAAGGGGTTATTCACAAAAGGGTGAAGAGTTTGGAGAAGGCAGGAGAAGGGAACAATCTAGGACAACATAGCTGAACTGCAAACTGAGCTGAATTGGAGAATTTTTCCAACTCAGCTATGTTGTCCTAGATCAGGGGTAGCCAAACTCCGGCTCTCCAGCTGTGGTGGAACTACAAATCCCATGAGGCATTGCAAGATTCTCACAGCCACAGACATGACTCCCGGAGAGAGATGCATCATGGGATTTGTAGTACCACCACAGCTGGAGGGCCGGAGTTTGGCTATCCCTGTCCTAGATTGTTCACTTCTCCTGCCTTCTCCAAACTCTTCACCCTTTTGTGAATAACCCCCTAAGAGAAGGTGGTCTCTTATATTCTGTGGTCCTATATTGTTTCTAAAAATAAACAATAAGGTGATCAGCGCCGGTAGGTGAAATGTGAAAATAAGAGCTACCAAGCACTAAGGATATAAATAAATATCTGGAAAATGTGAAAAACAATATTGTGCCGAGCTAATAATCATACACATCTAATACATTGAAACATATATAAATGAATCACATATATGAGCCTTCAAACAAATAAGGCATAAATATATATCTACACACAAAAAAAAACAATAAAGACAAAAAAAGTCCCAGAAAAAAAGTAAACAATGGTGATTGTGCAAGAAAATTCCTCAGATGATTCACAGCCAATCTGCATGTAACTCTCAGATAAGCATAATCACACAATGCAGGCAGACCTTCACCTCCACCCAGTGAGTGATAAGAAGTGAGTGCTCACCCGGGGTGGTTGACCCACAGAGCTAGGTCAAATGCACTTTTTCCCTTCTTAAAGGTGCCCATACACTTTACAACCCTCACAAGACATTTGTCTTGCGAGGGTTGTAAAGTACTTTAAAAAACGTACGATCTGCCCATCTTGGACAGGCAGATCGTACTTGTGATCATCGCAAGCCCTTGAGGGTTGAGGGGCGGGCTTGCGATGACTGCAATGAGGGGCGGGCTTCCGATGACTGCAAACGGGCAGTGTGCGCACACCAGCCCGTTCGGCAGTTGTCGAACAAGCAGGCCACTAACTCGCTGAGAATCGTACGATTCCCGGCGGGTTTTCCAGCCTGCTTGTTCGACGGAAGACGTGCGACCATACAGTAGAAGCGGTCGCACGCCTTCCGTACACTGCACGATTATCGTACGATCGCGGGATTTCGTGCAGTGTATGGGCACCTTTATAGGGGAGGGAAGCCCATGCACAGAAAAGGCGATAAGGTCTCCTCAGATCACAGGTACCAGAATAAATCCAGGAGGAAAGAAAAAAAGGACAAGGACATAGTGCGTAACGTCCAATAAAATGCAATTTATTAAATAAAAAATGCGTACTCATAATGGTGTAAACAGTACAGGCATTGGGTATTAATGGATCAGACCAGCAAGGCAAATGGCAGCAAAGCGAAAACACCCGTTTGGCTGGCTCAGCTCAGTGCAGTGACAACAGAAGCTCTGCCCTGCGTACTTTACGTCAAAATACGTGACTTCATCAGGGGTCACGTATTTTGATGACGTCACGTATTTTGATGTAACGTACGTAGGGCAGAGCTTCTGATGTCGCTGCACGGAGCTGAGCCGGACGAACGGGTGTTTTCATCGCTTTTCTGCCATTTGCCTTGCTGGTTTCATCCAGTAATACCCAATGCCTGTACTGTTTGCATTATTGTGAGTACGCATTTTTTATTTAATAAATTGCATTTTATTGGACGTTACGCACTATGTCCTTGTCTCTTTTCTCTTTCCTCCTGGATTTATTCTGGTACCTGTGATCTGAGGAGACCTTATCGCCTTTTCTGTGCATGGGCTTCCCTCCCCTATAAAGGTGCCCATACACTGCACGAAATCCCACGATCGTACGATAATCGTGCAGTGTATGGAAGGCGTGCGACCGCTTCTACTGTATGGTCGCACGTCTTCCTTCGACCCCTATGTCACTACAAGGAGCAGCAGTAACATTGAGGATGGAGGATGGAAAACCACAATATGTTTAAGTAGAAAAAGGCCTCCAACACTCGGGGAAGTGTCAAATGCCAAAGATACTGATGAATGCTGCAGCATTGGAATGGAGAAGAGGATGGAGACATGGGCTGCCAGAGAGGGGAGTATAATTCCTCTGCAGGGCACAGCTGGTACAGTTTATTTCATAAATACTTTTCTTTACCTCTAAACTACCTTATTCTACAGGGCCTTGAAACACAAAGACTTTGACATTGTGGACAGAGGTGTTATTGATGTAAAAGGCAAAGGGAAAATTAACACATATTTCCTGATCAAGAATTTACTTCTGTCTGAAGAAGAAATTATGGGCATGGCTAAATGTGAAGATCCTAAGGCAGACTGTAATCCGACTGCCGGTAAGTGATTCCGTTGTATTTAGCATGTTGTATACTTTTTGGCTGAAGCCCACTCAAGCCAACTTAGAGAAAAGATTTGTTTTACTTTGTAACAGGAGCCTCTGGAACAGGAAGTGACAGGAAAATGTCATCAACAGTGACGAAGACAGCTATAAATACATTTTTTTTATTGCTGTTAGTGTTCCGTTGAGATTTCCGCTTACCTCCTGTTCTGGTCACAAGTGCTCCCTGGAACAGAAGGAAAGGGGGGATCGAAAAATAAAACTTGTCTATGGAGTTTTTCAGAGGAAACACTGAATGGAAAATATTTTATTGTCCATGTGCACTTGGGCTACAACAATGCACTTGCTGAACATTCTGTATACTATAGTTAATGTGCTACGTGGCCAAAAGTTTGTGAATACCTGACCAATACATCTACTGTAAATGAAAGTGTTGGACATCCCATTCCAAAACCATGGGCATAAACATAGAATTCTGCCCTATGTGGCAAAAACAGCCTCCACTCTTCTAGAAAGGCTTTGCACAAGATTTTAGAGTGCGTCTGTATACATTTGTGCCCATTGACATTTGTGAGGTCAGGTACTGATGTTTGATGAGAAGACCTGGCTTGCGGTTGACATTCCAATTCACCACAAAGTTGTTCAGTAGGGCAGAGGTCGGGGCTCTGTGCAGGCCACGTAAAGTTTCTTCACACCAAACTCTTGTCCTCATGGACCTGGCATTGTGCACAGGAACCCAGTCATTTGGGAACAAAAAAGGGCATTCCCCCAAACGGTTTCTATTTGGAAGGTCACAACTGTCTAAAATGTCTTTGTACTGTATGCTGTAGCATTAACATTACCTTTTGCTAGAAACACCTAAACTAAATAAATTGGGTTGTTCACATATCCTGCCCATATAATATATCAAATTAAAGATTTCGTAATTTACATTTTTTTGGTGCAAATTTGATTTATTTTTATCTTATACATTTTTTGCTTCAGACCAAAGATGTTTTCACTTGGGAAATGGAAGGTCAAAGGTGTTTTTTTTGCATGTTTGTAAGGAGAGCAATTTAGGAAAGTTTTGCAAGAATACATCCTCTGAGAAATACTCAGATGGAGTTGCTGGCTTTCATCCCTTAGAATTTGAATTTGGGAATTTGGGGAGTTAGCATTGTGCGTAATCTCATGGATAAGCTTTTGATCTTAATAGGTTGTTCATCTAGTTTCTTTGCAGCGTAGAGCGTCATTTCAAATTTCTTTTTTAAGTTGTTGCTCACCCAGAAATGGTTTAAAACGGGTGTGATGGGTCCTGTTACCAAATAATTTACTTTGTTTATAAAATACTACTTCCTGGCATTTCCCCCTTTTCCTATTTTAGATAGGAGTGAGTGATGCACTCTGGTGAATTCCTACCTTGCCAGAAGGATTTTGACAAGCCCATGTACTGTTCCTGTAAGTGAAATATAATACATGTTTTTTTTATTGCAGTTTTAGGTCAAGTAGAAACTACAGAGGACTGTGTAAAAAATGGAATAGAAGACCAAGAAGTTGCATTAGATCAGAACACAAGTCATACAAATGATCAGACCACAGCCATTGCTACTTCAAGAACATGCCATATTTTATAGGCAAATTTTAGATCCAATTTTTACCAGGATTTGGCAAGCATATTGTCTAATAACGCTTCTCTTTGATTCTGAATAAGACCAATATATATGATTAAATGTAATTCTAGAACAAACAGTAGAAAAATAATAACTGTGCATATATATCGCTACAGGAAAAAAAAAAAATTACTACTTTTCAGCTGCTAAACATTTGCTTGCATTGTATTTGCTTGGATTTTATACTGATACAGTATACTGCAAATGGTCCTCTAGATGTTAATATGCTGTGCAGTGATGTTATGTTATCCGATCACAGTGATCTCCAGCTCGGGACCTGTGTCAGCACTCACAAAATAGAAACGCAGATGATCAGCCAGAATTTCTAAATAGCTAGATTAACATCTGGCTTTGGTTTCCCAAGGATTAACTGCAGTTGTTAGCACTATATGTACTGTCCAATCATGTGAAGAATTCTAGTTTCACGCTACACTAAAGATGGTCAGATTTAAAGTGTATTTACAGCCTTTTTTTCTTGTTGTGTACTAAGTGGAGACAGCCCACACGGTAAGGGTTTGATTGTGTATATTCCCACGCAGAGCTTTACTCATGCTGCAAAATATTTTCTGTTATAAGGTATGTTTGTGATTTCCCTTCACCAATGGAAATGGGGCCGTGTGCCGTCTTGGAGATCTGATCATAAACCTTAATTTCCCCACGATACATTCCTTAAATACAAGTGTATTCAAGATATTTCCCATTAATATCCAGGCCCAATCCTGATTAGGCAGGGGAACCGGGTGCACCTCTTACATATGGTTTTAGCCATGAGCAAATCTGAAGTTATGTGAAACAACAGATTCAGTAAAAGTGTTTTTAATGCAACAATAACAATATTTGGTAATGCTGGCATATGCTCAATTAAAGTGACATTAAAGTGACAAATGTTTTCCCTCCCCCCATGTTCATGATGTCTCTTATTCCGATCTTCTTCTTCTTTCCTGATGTTTTCATCTGTCCCTCCAGCGGTGCAGCGGCTCTCCGATCCAGCGCTGACTGCTCTGTCCCTCCGATCCAGCTGTGTCTGCATGCGGGTGCACGCGTCCATAGACTTACCTTGCATCTCTGCTCGTCTCCCGCCCCAAGATCCTTTGCGGCCGCACGAGCAGTTCCTGATTCTCGGTGCGGGAGCGCGCAGCGATAACGAGGTAAGTTTAAATCTCTGTTAAAGCGGGTTTTTTCTTTTACTTTTTGCCTATATCTACTGCCTGCTAGCAGTAGATATAGGCAAAAAAAACCGGAGGGTTTAGAACCCCTTTAAATCTTGTGACTTGTAAAGCATGGTCCACGTTAGGACAGACAAATATTTTTTTTTCTATTATATGCCTTACATAAACCTTTGTGTAATTGCAGTGTACAAAATCAGATTTTTTTTCCAGATATTTCAGCAGGGTGGATTGCAATTAAAAGATTGGACATGAACTCTAATAAGCAACAGGTATAATTTATTCCTGAGATGTCACACCTTTTCCTTCAAGGCAACAGGTGATAATTGGTTATGTGGACACGCGGGGAATATGGCAATCCCAATGCATGAGCCTACGAGTTTCACACCTCATTATCAATACAGCTCATCCTCGATAATCCCTAGATGTAAATACTGCTCTGGACAGTAAACATTAAACAATATTATGGAAACTTGAGGCAGCAGTTCTGGCCTTTGTCACAGTTAACCTGTAGTAACCAGTCATCCAACTATGGTGGCTTCTTGTATGGTCTACTGATAAAACATCCTCCATGTGGGTAGTACTCTGGATTTATATGCTTACATGCTAATCAGAAGACATAAAGCAGAATCACTGCAGATTTTAGAACACACAGTAATAGGTGTTAAAACATATTCTCAGATATCCTAATCCTTATAAAACTTATGGACTTTTGGTACAAGTAAACGCATGTGAACCTTCACATATAATGAATGAGATCTGTGCCATTATAGTCAATGAAGATGAGAAATTACAGTTTTTTAATAGCAAAGGAATGATCGTGCATTTGAATGTACCAAAAGTGTAAACAGGCCTAAGGGTCCGGTATAAAAAAAATGCTGTACCATCAATACAAGATTAAGTAAAGATAAAGCAGCAGAAAGCATCAGAATGATATTGCTAAAGGTTTAATGATATAGAATAAAAGACAACTCTCCGAATAAAAAAACATTATTCTGATAACAGTATACAGTTAATGAATGATGTTCCTGTGTATGATGTCCTTTTGTTTTACATGTGCTTATTTAGATTATTTTCCCCATTTACATGAAGACTAAGCTGTCCAGCAAAAGTGACGGTGGTTGGGATTAACTGCAAGACTGGCCATACACTAAGATTTCTCTCGTTCAGCCCCATATGGCCACCCACAGCTCGAATGTTGGCCTACTTGGCAGGAAGCGGACGAAATTCAAGCGATGTATGGCCACCTTTAGTATATGAGCAAATGGATTGATCCTTTGCCTTCCCAACAACTGTTATCATATCAGTAGGAATGATCAGGTATTCTAAAGGAAGACAATTTTCAGACTAGCTAATAGTTTATCACCCCTACTGAGTTCTGCAAAAGTGGTCAACTAGTCACTTAATGCCCATATACTGATCCTTCTAATAGCAGCAGCATGGGTACCAATCCTCTAATGTCTGTAGTAATCTTAGCTAAGCATGGTCTAGTCTATATGCAAAATAAGAATATCATCATCCTATACACTTTGTTAAAATAAGAACATTTACCTTATTTCCATTTCTTCATGTGAATCGCTTGCTAGGTGTCCAAAGCTCTGTGCTCGGAAATATTTGTATTTCTTGTTTTCCAAAAAGCCCTTTTCATGTGCACAATACTTTAAAAAGCTAGTTATAAATTGACTGGAGTGGTTGCCATTTTCTTTTGCTGGATCTGGCAAGGGGACACGCTGGAGGTCTTCAAATGCCATTGTGCTGTGCAGGGCTTCTAGTGTGTCCCTGTTCCTTTAAGGCGGAATGGGCTACCGCCAGACATATCCTCTCTCGATTTACTCATTGCTATACTGTATATGTTCCAAGATGGAGGCTCTCATAGATTAAAGTAAGGGACCACAGTACACAGAGGGGCCTTGATGCAGCAGTGTGGCTTCCACATATATTTGCAAATCTGTGCAACTAAAACCTCTGTTTTTTTTAACGTAAATAGTTATGACAGTGTAACTTTTTCTTTTTGCTGGCTAGCTGATAAATGTGCTGAGATTTTATTTTTTTTTGGTATTGTTTGTTTTGGGAACAGCCCTTTCATGTGCACCTTACTTTAAAAAGCCAATTATAAATTGACTTCACTAATTTCTATTTTTGGGGGGATTTGGCATGGGGACACACTGGGGGCTTCAGCTGCCACTGTACTGTGCTGGGCCTCTGGTGTGTCCCTGTGCCTTTAAGGAGGATTGGGCTACCTCCAGGCATATCTGCCCTCAATTTATTCATTGCTATACATGTTCCAAAATGGTGAATCTCAGATTAGTGTCTGGGTTCACAGTACACAGATGGGTCTTGATGAGGTGTGGCTTACACACACACACACACACACACACACACACACACACACACACAGCTAAAACCTTTATTGTTAATGCAAATCTTTAGATAGTGTATCTTGTTTTGCTGGCTATCTGGGACATAAGGTGGGAAAGTTTTATAATAAACAATCTTTTGTCTTCCCAAAAACTCATATATTAGTGGGAATGATTAGATGTTCTACAGGCAGACAATATTCAGACTAGCCAATGGAATTTTCACTCCTACTGAGCTCGGCAGAAGGGGTCAACTTCAGTTACTAATTCTTTAGATATACTGATTGTGGCCTGATCCATCCAATATCAGCAGGTTGGGGCTCCAAGCATTTAATGTGTGTAGAGATCTTCACTGCGCATAGTCTAGTTCAATTCCCTCATGTAAATTGCTTGCTAGGTGTCCGATGCTCTCCTGACAGTTTCTCTTGTAGAGTGAAGGATGCATTTGCAGGAAAAATACTTTCTTAATCACTACTTTGTTCGGCAAAAGTTACTCTTTTTAATCTTAAACAATGGATGAATCTGAATAAAGAAGCATTGTTTACCCAAAAATCAGTCCAAACGTGTTCATTGAAAAGTTATTTACTACAAATTCCATTATTACAGCATATAAAACACATGCTCTGTTTCAAAACAACCAACTGCCAAAAAAATAACACTTTTTAATTAAATAAAACATCTTTTCTTTCATATAACCTTGCATCGCTACCCACATTTTCTATTTTGTGCTCTTTCCCTTAGGACTAAAAAAGGAGGATATGTTTTTCATCCCAGATTTGTCCACTTTAGCCAGAGATTTTTGGGCTGCAGTCATCTTGCTATTGGCCTATAAAAGTAACAACACAAGCAAAATATCACTTAACTTTGAAAAAGCTATGTATTTGGAGATACTGTATATCATGATTAAATATATCATTTTAAAAATACTTAACTGATACTGAATAGCGTTAAAGAATCACCTGCACACCATACAGCACTTGAACCAAACGAAATGTCCGTTGGTGCACGAAGTGACGACACGGATGGCGCCTTGCTACAGTCCAAGTAAAGAT